TGTCCCCCCTCAGAGCCCCGTGCCCGTCCCCCCTCAGAGCCCCGTGCCTGTCCCCCCTCAGGGCGGGGCCGCTCCCGGGGCTCCCTGCCCGGCTCTGGGCTCTGGGAATCGCCTCCTGCTGAAGCCTTTTACAGCCCTCGGGAGCGCCTGGTTCGAGTGCGCTCGTTTGTGTCGAGGGTGGCGTGGCTGTCGTGAGGTGTCACGGCAGTACCTCCGGCCCGGGGGATGGAGCGAAGGCGAGAGTTGCACGGTTGGAACTGCCTCGCAGAATCGGTTGCGTTGGAAGAGACCCCTGAGAGCATCGAGTCCGCCCTGTGCCCGATGCCCACCTTGTCAGAAGGAGCCCGGAGCCCCGAGTGCCACGGCCGGGCTTTCCCGGAGCACCCCGGGCACGGCGACTCCGCCAGCTCCCTGCGCAGCCCCTGCCCGTGTCTGAGGGGCTTAAAACTTGGTCATGCGACTGAAGGTTAAAGGATGTTTGCCTCTGTTTGCTGGTACAAAATCGATGTTTCTGGAGCACCTTTCTGCTCTGAAGTTCCCTTAGATGTGAATAATCGACCCTGTCGAGATCTGCTGTGGCTCTGTAATGAGAAAACAAAAGAGGAGTATTTGAATATTTTTTTCTCTGTGCAGTTACGATTTATTTTTATGTTAGCTGGAACTCAGAACTTGACACAAATAATAATGGCAGCGCTCTCTTTTCTTAGGATTTGAAGATGTCTAAAAAGAAACTGAAGAAATTAACTGAAAAGGAAGACTCTTTGGATGGCCGGGATGACAAAGTAGGAACCAAAATATTATTACTGTTATTATCTTAATTCAATCCTCTGTGTTCAAAAGAAAAGCATGAATTGTTTAGTCGCTTTGTGATAGAAGGATGAATCCAATTTAAATAGGAGGTCATAAAGAGCAGCAGGAGGGTCGAGTTGGTCAGATAACTTATGTTTGTGTTTATGTATATAACTTAGGTTTTTCTCCAGGCCTGTGAGTAGTGTAGTTGTCAGAAAACAAGAAGCTTTTTTATTTTTGTGTGTCTTCCTGGCTGAGGAAAGTTGAGCTTAGAACTGTTACCGAAAGCACTGCTGTTTTCTGGGGTTGTTCTGTGTCTTGGATCATACACTTTTATTTTCTGATGAACCACAGGTTGTACTTTTTGCAGCATTTTCACGAGCGACTCTCAAATATTTCCTTCTAAGCACTGAGACATAAATTAATGACCAAAACTCTCAGCATATCCTGGTATCTACTTGTATCTAGTGAGTGAGCTTTCACTGAATCACTTGTAAAATGCAGATGCTACAGGGGTGATCATCTTTCTGGTCATTTCTTGCAATCTTCTTTTTTCCCCTTGAATTTTGCAAGGAGTATTTGAAGTAAGAGAGATTTTAACTGTCTTATCAAAATTTTTTTGGCAGCGTTAATAAATGAGCGTGGTATTATGACCTTATAAACTCAGTTATTCATATTAGAAACTTTTTAATCTTATAGAAAATGTTGTTCAAAGCCAAATATTTGTAGCTGGGTTTTTTTTTCTCCTGAATTCCTTAGTATTATTCAATTTGTGTTTTAACATTAACTTAGGTGTTTTGTTGTTTTTTTTTCCACTTCTGTAATACAAAGGGTAAGCACTTGGCTTAAAACTCCCTGCTTCCTCCTTATTGCCATTGCTGATGCCTCTACTAATTTGAAGAATACAAAGTGTTGCCTGATTTCAGTTTGAGGCAGCATTAAATATTGCTTTATGCAGATATTGACCAACAAAAGCAACAGTGAGAAGCCAAATATTTAGTAGCAAAAGGATGAGTAAACCTCTAATAGTGCAAGAGTTCTCCAGTGTGATCACAGGATGGATTAGAGGTGTCTTACACCCCAAACTGAGGAAAGGAACAGTAAGAAAACTTGCTTGTGATGACCAAATTAAGTGAAAATCAGAGAGTTAACAAGAGACTTTTAAGAAAAGGAAGAGATGGGTTGAAAAGAAATATTAAAAATGCCATGAAAGCTGGTGATGGTTGGGGACTAGTCCTTGAAGAGAGAAATTAGTACCTGAGCTGCTGGCAAAGTGGGTTGGATGTCACCAGGAGTTGTCCCACCAGCATCGTGAGCTCCACCTGCCCCAAGGGAGACCCTTCCCTGCCTTCCAGCCAGTGGGGGACACACCCTGGGGATATGGACATGACCTGAGGGGGCTTTGGAATTGTCTGTCATTCTCTTTTTTCTGTTGCATTGCTGACACTGATCCTACAGCTCCAGAACCAACCAACCAAGGCAGAAGTTCTCAAAATTGCCTTAATTTAGGACTCCACTGCTTTCTGCAAGCCTTTGATTTTTGAGTGGAGTGCTTTCCAGTGTGGAAGTAAACCAGCTAAGGCCTGTCTAGGTAGGAAAAATCTCTGCAGCAGTGACCTAATGGCCTCACTGAGTCAGCACACCACAAGGAGTGAATTATTTGTAAAAGGATGAACTGTCTGGAGCTTCCTTATCCCAAGTAATCCATATGTTACTGTTCCCTGTTGTAACTTCCTACACTCTGCTGTAGTTTGGGGAAAACTGAGTCATATAACACAAAGGTATATAAAACTAACTGCCATGTGGGGCAGAGTTATCCAGAGTCTGTCCTTCTGCTGCTCTCCCCTCTCTCCCAGAGCTGCTGCTCTGCCCTGCTCAGAGCTGCCTTCCCGTTATTCCGCGACATGGATGCAACATGGACACAGCAAGCAGTGATACTGCTGCTTCCTAGACAAGGAGTGTCCAAGTTCTTTGTTTGAGGACTGTCTGTACCCTTAACCAGGCCTGTGTGACCCCATTTTCATGCTGTTCCTCTGTGGTGGTACATCCCCCCATCCCTGGCCCTGCTGGAAACACCTTGGAAGCTCCTGATAAGCCTTGATGGACCCGCTGAGCGGTGAAGTGTCCCCTGACTGCACCAGCTGGGCCTGGAGGTGCTCCCTGATCCTGCCAGGAGCTGCTGGGTGGTACAGGTGGGAACAACCAGGAACATCCAGCCAAGGTGGGGAACAAAGGATGAGCCGTTATCCTTCGGAGCCTCGGTAAACCATTGACCTGGATCGCCGTCCGGGCGGAACGGCACCGCTGGGGATTGCAGCCCGAGTGGAACAGTCCCATTGTTACTGTGCTGCGGGAAAGAGCCCAGGACTTACGGACTTGGGATATGGCCAGGAGGGGAAATTGGTGATGACCAAAGTCAGGGGCCTTGTGACCCTACAAACAGTGGTCCTCAGAGCAGGATGTCTGTTGGCATTCCTGAATCCTCAGGGACCCTCACTGATGAGGAGGTGTGGGCTGATACCCCCCCACATCTCCACACTCCTCGAGGTGCATCCCTTGGCAACTGGGAAACAAAAGGATTTGATGAATGTCACTGAATTGTGGAAATTTGGACAGTACCTTCACACACATGGCAGTAGGTGTGGGACACATCTTCTGACCTGGGAATTGATCACAGGATGGATGTTGCTATCTCACATCTATAGTTAAGTCATTGTTGTACTGAACCCTGTTGAATCACTTGGTAAATGTTAAAGTACTCAATAATTAAATGCTGCTAAACCCCTTTGCACCCTTATCATTGCATCCACATCCTTTGCACCCTTTGACAGTTTCCTTAAGTAGCCAAACCACTCAATTGTGGCACCATCTTATGAAAAGTGTGTTTTATTTTAACTGCAGTTCCCTCTATAAGCCCACGATTTTTTTTTTCTTTCAGACCTCTGAGGACACAAGATCTTATAAGCACACTGTGAAAGGAGAGACAGAACTCCAGAGGTAAATTCTTGCCCTGCCATTAAATGGGACTACTTAAAAATGTAACAATCACAGACTTTTTCAATGCTGAATTGAAGAACTTTTTCAACCTTTTCATCAAATAAAACACAGTATTTTAACTAGTCTTTCTTTGGGCATTTTAAAGCTAGTGTAAAGTAAATAATAATTACTGAGTATTTTCTTTACTCTTAGGAAAACCAACTAGGAAACTTTCTTCTATCACTCCTGCTTTCTGTAGAATGTTACTATATTCCCATCAGTTGTTCCTTTTCTAAGTTCTCCAGTCAGTGCAGGACAAACAGTTTGAAAGCTGTGTGGGTTTTGACACTGGGTGACCAAGCTGACCTTTCAGGGTGACACACCTCCTTTATCATTAAACTGCTGTTAAAACTTATCTGTGTGATAAGAAGAAACTCAGCCTTGTAGGGTGTCTCTCAAACTGACAGATACCGAATGCAGAAAAGGCTTTTTCTCCATTTTTTTTGAAGCTGAAGTAACTGTACAGTGGAGAAATGTAAATCCAAAAAACGCTGTATTAAACTGTTTTAAAGGACAAATGGTGCTGCAAGTTCATATTTAAGAGCAGACCAAACTGATGCTCACAAATACTTAGCTCTAACTGCCTAAATCAAATGTAGGTGCCTTTTTTGTTGCTGTTTTGTGTTAACTGGGCTAAATTACATTGATTTTTTCGTGATGTGTCTGTAGGTCCAAACCAGAGAAAGATGGGCAAGAGAAGAAGCGACACCGAGGTTCTAGTGTTTCTCATGATGCTGATGAAAGATCCCAAGGAAAATCTCCAAATAGAAGCAAAACCCCAGACAATTCTTCAGTTAGACCTGAAAAGCAAAAGAAAGTCATTATCCAATTTAAACCCAAAGAAATTAAACACGGAAAAAGCACCCGCACTCCTGACGCAGTGACTGCGAGCAAGGAACGGAGTCGCTTGGAGGGAACAGAGAAAAGGCTCTGGTACACCTTTGAACTTCAGAGGGAGAAGGCCCTGAAGAAAAAGAGAGAGAAAGCTGAACTCTGCAAGCTCAAGTTAAAAGCAGAACAAGCCATGATAGAGAAGTTTAAGTCATCTGTGTCCGATGTGCTGCGGAAAAGGGCGGACGGCTCAAAGAAGCGCGGTGAAGATGGCAGAATTCCAAAGAAGCCACCCGGCACCTCCGTGAGGACTGTCACTAAGGAGTCGGATGTACTGTCTGGCCTTTGGGAAGAGGAGGAGGAAGAAGAATATAAGGAGTTTCCTGTGAAAAAGAGGCACGTGAGTAAACACAGAGCAACAGACTCTTCAGCCGAGACACCGCCACGATGGGACTCCCGTAAGCGCAGAAAGCACGATGCTGGTTCTCCTGAACCTTCTGGACCTTCAGGGACTGAAGAAAGGGACTTTGAAGCCACAGAAATATGTTTTAAGCAGGTAATGAGAACCCGGTTCTTTGTATTCTGCAGGTAGATATTTCGGGCTGGTTTCCAAGTGGCAGAGTTTTCCATACTCAGACTGTCTCCTTCCAGAATTCAGCCAGGTTTCATGGCTTCACCAGGGGGGTTTTTGTCATCCCAGTGTAAACCTTGATAACGTGTTCCTTGCTAAATGGTTAAACAGAGCAGAAGAGTAAAGGTCTTGCATGTTTGGGCTGTGTCTGCAGATGCTTTCACAGCTTTGCTCTGCTGCTGAGGGTGTGGAATACTTCCATTTAGGTATAAATCAACAGGAGTTTATTTCTGAGTTGACATGGTTGTATCATTTTTTAAATGAATGGACTCGAAGCAATGAAAACTTGCTGCCAGACTTGCTGGCAGAGTGATGCCAGGAGAGCTTGCTGTGGATCTGGGGTTAAATTGGTACTTTTCCTGCAGAACTTCCCGTTTGGCTGTGAGGGGTTCATTTCTGAGTTCAAGCTGAGGTGCAGAGCCAAACACAAGCTAGATCTGGAGCACGGGGTGGTTCTCTTTGTTGTTGTTCTTGTGTAACATGCCCAGAATTTTTGAGGATTTCAGTGCATGGTATGGTAGTGTGAGCCTTTTGTGTGTATGCAGAGATAGTAATTCCTTGCAAAATCATGGAATCACTGAAGTTGGAGGGCCCCTCTGGAGATCCTCCAGTCCAGCCCCTGTGCTCGAGCAGGATCAGCCAGAGCAGGTTGCCCAGGACAAAGGATGGAGACTCCACAACCTCTCTGGGCAGCCTGTTCCAGCACCTTCAACCACCCAAAAGTGGGGGTTTAATGTTCAGGTGGAATTTGCTTTGTAATCCACTGTTATTTATTTAAATGAGAGCCATCCTTCTAAGCTCTGCTGAAATGATACTGTAGATACTAAAAAACATAGAATTGGTGTTCCCTATTCAGTTCACTTGGGGCTATTCAGTGTTATTTAAAAACAACTGTAAAAGTCTGATACATGTTGTACTTTTATTCTCACTTGTTTCTAGAATTTGGGGAGCCTGTGCACATCTGAGTCCTACCAGGAAGGTGAGGTCAGAAAGCCTGTGCCTGTCCAACAGGTGAGTGATGGACCTGTTTAACACTGTACAGCTCTATCCTGGAACTCCTGACATGGGGATCACTTGCTCCTCAGTCTTCCTTGATGTTTTGTGGTGTTGGGAGGGTTTTTTTTAATCCTTCCTGCAGAACTTTGAAGGCTTTCCAGCCCTTCAGGACAGTCAGAACCCAGTAACAGACCAAGAGGTTGGTAATGCTTTAATTTAACACTTCTGAGTTGTATTAAAAAGCAAAGGCACTGAGGTTGTGTAGCTGGACAATTCCATGACCTTTCCTAGTATTTGGCATTGTTGGCTTATGATCTGCCCTTCAAAAACGTGGAGCATTTATTTTAAATGCTAAACAAACTTGCTAAAGTTTGCTAATCAGGAACTTTCTGAGATAAAGGTTGTCTTTCTGTTGTTATCTGCAAGGGGCCCTCATAGTTGCTCACATTATCCAGCTGTCTCATTTTCCATCCTCTAACTTTTTAGCTGGGAGAAAGACTTTGTTTTTAACAAGTGCCTGTGAGGAAACTCGCAGTTTATCTAGCAAAAAATGGAGCAAAGTTTTTGGGTACCAGCTAGAAAGGTCCTAAATCTTCTTTCCAGGCCATATTTTCGATGCCTCCAGTGGAGCAGAAGTTCTCATGGCTTTACATTTCCTGTACCAAGTTACTGTTTTTCATACATCATTTTGAGCCAGTTTTAACAGCATTAATGCAAAAGGATCTTTGGGGGGGGACAATTATGAAGTGATTCCTTCCAGTGGATTGCATCCATGCCCATGTTTTCCCTGTAGATGCAGATAGCTGAAGACTTGCACGTTGCCCGTGTGGAGAAGAGGATGGCACTGTCTGTAGTCCAGGCTTGTGGAGAGCTCACAAGCATGGACATTGATCTTCCAGAACAGGATTTAAATGTTTCTGCTGGTATGTCGTGGTGCTCTTTGCTCTCTGCTTGCAACTGGTAATTACAGTTGGCTGATGGTCTGAATAGGGAGTACACAACTGATTATTTCACTGCTGCTTTGTTTTCTCTTTTTTCTCTTCCCCCAGAGGCTTTTACTTCTGGTCTGAACATTCTGGTGGTGATTGACACAAACATCATGATTAGTCACCTTGAGTTTGTCAGATCCCTGAAGTCTGAGGATATACCAGGTATGTGAATCCATTGTAAGAAAAAACAGATGTTGTAAGAACTTGGAGCTGTCTGGAGAAAACCAAAGCTGGGCTCCTTCAAAGGGCAGCAGATTTCCTGCAGAGGCAGAAGGCTGGTTCTGTGAGCCCAAACAAGCTGCCTCTCATGGGAAGTCCAGCTATGGAAGTACTGTCCTTATCCCTACCTCCCTGCAGGGAATCATGGCAGACATTCCCAGGAACATGCTTGAATTCTTGGAGCTAAATAAGTCTTACCCTTTCTAAGAACATAATGCAAGCATTTCAGCCATAACTAGTGATAATTGTGTTTTCTGCTCCTTTTGGAATTTCTTGTCCTAGAAATCTAAGAACATTTGAAGTCTGGTAAGCTGTGAGTCAGTGCTGTGTTTCTGTTTGGTAAAGGTCACAGAACTGAGCAGTTTTCAGGAATTCAGGAAGCAGGTTCTGGGTTTAACATTTGGCTCTAATATGTCAGGAAGGTTTTGGTGACTTAATGTTAGCAGGTTTAGGGTTGGGCATGTCCGTTCTTGGAAGCATATTTGGAATCCAGCAGAATGTTTAGGGTGCTTCGATTCAGCTCATGAATACACTCATTCCAGCCACTTGGAAAGTGGCTTTAATCATAACTTTACTCCTCAGTAATTTTCAGGAGAGTGTCAGACCGTATTTCTCTTCCCATTTTGGGAATGGTGTTGCCTTGCCTACACTGAGTTGCCTTTTTAGAACATTGCAGCTCCCAGTTTCTGGTCCTGCACATGGAGAAGGCCACAGATTCCTGACCATTTATTACAAAGCAGATGGTTATTAATGTATTTTCTCAAAATTGCATCTCATAATGTGAATGAGACAGAAAACAGTTGAAGTGTTTGTTGTGAGTGGACCAAGTTCAGGCCATACTTACACACAAATAAACCCTTGCTGCAATATCCATACTCTTATTCCTGGCTTAGGAATGCTGATTGGCAACTGGAATAAGCCATGGCTCCTTGTTGGGATGCTTGTTTTGGCACAGTGACTGTTGTGGTCATCCAGGTGTTTGCAGCCTGTTATTTCAGCTGCTGTGTCACCTTGCTATAACATCTTAGAGCAAGTGTGTGACAAGGTAATTTGATGCAAATGTATTTTATAATATTGCTACACACTGCTGTCAGAGTGTTCTGTTGATTAAAATTGTGTCTTCCTTTTGTTTGCCTAAAATTGTCATTTTTCCATGTAATCAGTGTAGTGCCAGTTTGAGGTTGGGTTGGAAAGAGGGACCTTGGCCATTTCAGTTCTTTTTTAAATGCCAGATTCTCTTGAGCAAGGAATGTGATAACTACTGGCACAAAGAGCAGTGTGAACTTGCAAAAATATGATGTTTGAATTAAAAGTTCTCTGTAGTAGTTTGTGTGGCTCTTCAAAATATCGTTTATTGGTTGTGGTTTGTTTTTTTCCTTCCAGGTGTTGACAGACTTGCTTTAATAATTCCCTGGGTCGTCCTACAAGAGCTGGACAACTTGAAGAAGGGGAAGATGTTGCAGCATGTCCGGGACAAAGCTATCCCTGCAGTCCAGTTCATCTACAAGTGTCTCAAAAGCCAGGATTCCAGGCTGTGGGGACAGTCCATGCAGCTGGCTTCTCAAAAAATATGTAATATATGTGCAGTCACTTGGTGTGGGGTACTTCATCCTTGGAGTTCACCTAGCAGGAACCTTTAATAGAATCTTCACTGTGCAGTTTGCTAATTACAATTAGCTAATAGGTGCCAGCAGCCTTCAGAGCAGAACCAAGGCTGTGCTGTGCAAATCCCTGATTAGTGTCAGTGCCGTGTTCAGTGTGGTTTGCTCAGGGGTTTCTCAGTTTCACTTTACACTTCTCTCTCCTTGTCTGGGGGGTAATTAAATGTACAAGCAATACCCTGGCTGCAGTGAAATATTTCTTGCCCTGCCTTTTTGCAGACGGGCTGAGTGATGAGAACAACGACGACCGTGTCCTGCAGTGCTGCCTCCAGTACCAGAGCCTCTTCCCTCAGGCTGTTGTCATCCTCTGCACGTGAGTCCCTGCCTGGCCTTGGGTCTCATGCCACAGGCACTGCTTGCAAAATGAAGAGCTGTTGTGCAGTAGAGCTCTTTGAAGGGCAATCACCCCCTGAAAAGCTTAGAGTAGAGGGATATCATAAACCATGGAGACTGTAGATGTAACCACCTTCATGTCAGGCCTGAAGCAGAATTAAGTTTACTCAATATTCAATTTTAAAACTTGTTAAAGTATAGCTTTCTCAGATTTTAGCCTGGTTTCTCATATATATTACTGAAGTTACAAAATAGAAAAAAATATTTGTATTAATGATTGAGATACTTTATCACTGTTCCCAGCAAACACAGGGTTAATCTGAGGGGGAAGCTGGACATGGATTTGCTACTGCTGTTCCTGTTTTGTGAAGATAACAGCTGACTTCTGAGTGTTGATTTTCATTTGCTAGGAGCAGGTGAAGCTGTTTTTCAAGGGCTGGTGTTCCTTGGCTGTACTGTAACAACTTGCTCTGGTCTCTGCTGGAACCAGTTCCTGCCTGGTTCCAGTCCGTGGGGCTCAGACACTGGGCACCAGTTAGTTTGTTTAGGTCCACAGGAGTGGCTGCTGAAAATACCATTTCAGTCACAGTATTGGTGGTCATTTTAGGTTCTTTTGAGTAAAGAACAAGAAGTGACTTCAGAAATGCTTTTCATCCAAAAATCCCTTTATCTTCTCTCCATATAAGCAATGGGAATTTTTGAGAAAGCGCTAAATCCAACTTTGTCCTGTGTCTTTGGAGTAGTTCTGCTGGAGCAGAACCTCAGGGCAGCATCTGGGATAGTGATTTGGACAGTAGAACAGTTAAAAAGGGTCTCAAAAATGAGAATTAACTGTAGCAATCAAATGAGATTGCTGTCTTATTGCCTTTTTTGCTTTAAGATCATAGAAACCAGGCATCATCGCTGCAGTATTTATAGCTGTTGTTTTCTTAAAGCAAACCTAGAGCCTGAAACACTTTTCAGTATGTTTCTAATTTCTTTTCAGAAAAGATGCTTTCCTTAATTTTCTAGTTTAATTTTCTGATCTGCTTCTAATTGCTTGAGGAAAAAAAAGTCATACATAATGAAGTTCACAAAGCAAGTTTTCCAGATGTGTGTTGCTTTTATTACTTTTATGTCAGCAGTTCATTCTCTCTTCTCCTAGGGATGACAAAAATTTATGTAATAAAGCCATTGTGAGTGAGGTCAAGGCATTCTGCAAAGCTGATTTGGTCACTGCTCTGCAGAATGTGAACGTGAACAGGCCCCAGAGCTGTGGGGAACAGCAGCCAAAACGTGGTGAGTTTGTTGGATGTAACAGTTCCTACTCTAATTTCAATTTTCCTGTGCTTTGAATCCTTAGGAATACTTTTTGTTTGGGGCACATTTGTTGTTTTCAAAGGTACATGGTTTTCTGAAAGTTTGAGACCTTTATTCAAGCATCTGTCTCAGAGTTCTAGGAAATTCAAATATGATGTATTTTTGTTTTATAGAGAAAAACACAGCACGAATTTCCTGTGTTTAGAGTCATTTAAAAATTACCCTGAACCTTTTAGGACTGGAAGAGGTTCTTCATTTTGTCAAAATTTGCAATGTTAAGGAGCGATTGTCTTAAACTTGGTGATAACCCCACTGGCTGTACATAATCTGAGATATTTAAGGAAAAAGGAAGTGTGGAGTAATATCACAAATTAGTAATGCTCTGGGGTTAGTAGCTCATAATTAAAAATGCCCCCAGTACAAGTGGATATAACTAGAAATACTTGAAACCTGTTTAGGTGTAGCCCATCTGCTTTATAAAAATATATAAATAAATATATAAATACAAAATTTATTGTATTTATATAAATATAAAATGCAGTCTGCATTTATGGGGATGAGTTCTCTGTGTACTGTCAACACAAATTAGATACAGAAACAGTTGCAATAAATACCTTTTACATCACTGGTTTGGCAGATACAGAATTTGAGAAGACACAAGGAGGTGATGCTGGGTTTACTGCTCAGTTCCCAAATGTGCTTCCAGACCTTGAGAAGAACTTAGGAGAAGCTTTGTCTTGTATTTTGGAGACTGAAATGAAACTTGCATTCGGAAACCTGTGGATGGAGGTGGGTTTTATATCATCTTCCTTGATGTTTCAAGTATGAAGAAGTTTAAATGTCCTTAATATTTTAATGATAGTAATACCTGTGCTAAGCCAAACAGCTCAGTTATCCAGTTCACTGCCAGTGGACAACTCAGGGTTCATTTCTAATATTTCATTTGTTCTATTTGACCAGTAATGACTGTGCAGTATTTTAACAGAATTTTAATAATGCAGTGGCAGAGATGCTGGCTGCTCAGTGTGAATTTTCAGAATACTTTTTATTAGTTGCATTAAAATTCTATTTATTTCAGCTTTTCCAGTCTGGGTAAATCACTGCATTGTATTTATGTCCTGCAAGAAATCATTCCATCACATCCTGTGTAATCCTGGGGCTCTTCTTGCAGGCATTTCTTCCCCACCACAACAGATGTTTTTAGATACCTTGTGGATAAAATTGCTCACAGCTCAGTTGATTACAGTGCAGATACAGAATTACAAGGGTGTTAATGAGAACCTCCAAACACCCTTTCAAAAGTATTTTAAACAGAAATTGTACCCAAGGACCAGGCACTATAAATTGTCCATGCTTTGGTTTAGATTCCATTTCATAGCTGGTGGGGGTTAATTACAAGTTTAAATTTCTTGCAGATAAGCCTCTGTGGCTTTAAAAAAACCCAGAAAGTCATGGGATGACAGTTAAGCTTTTGGTCACTTCTGTTTAACTTAGTTCATTTCTGTTGACATCTCTTCAAACTCTGGTTTCACTTGATACTCATAAATTTCAATTTTTTGCAATACATACATGTTACTTCATGTGTATGCAGTCAGCAATTTTTATTTTTATTTTTTAGCAATACTAGAAAACCAAAGGCATATTTATTGTTGTTCTGGCTTTTGTGCACAAGTAACACATTAGATCACTTTGAGATAACCCAGGAGCATTTGGATTTTGTTTTAGAGGAAAGAGGAACCAAAAATTATGGGAGTGATTGTACATTGTACATGAGCATCACTGTTCAACCCATGCTGCTGAATCAAATCTTTATTTAATAGATAAACTCGTTACATGTGAATAAAGCCTTATTTCTGAGGAATCACTGAAACTCTACTTCAGCAATCACAAATCATCCATTAGGGCAGAACAGAGAGAGTGGAGCAGTTGTGGAATGCACAGGAATAGGTGTAAATGAAAAGCAGCCTTTGAATTTATAACGTGTTCTCTTTCAGATCCTGTATCTGAAGCCACCATGGACATTAGTAAACCTGCTGAAGTGTTATAAAAAACACTGGATGGCTGTTTTTGGTTATGTGGTGCCAAGGGGTTTACTTTCAACTGTTGAGTGTCTCTCTAAACACCTTTGTACAGGTAAAAATCCTGGAGAATGTTAATTGTAAACTTGTAAAAAGCCTCACTGTTCTGGTTATAGTTACAGATTCTGTGTATTAATGGTTGCCAAAGTCTCTGAACTATTTTGAAAAAGCAAATTATCCTTTTCCCTCCTTTGCCCTCGTGTTATGTGGGCAAATAATCTACAAATGATCTATTGCCAAAAAAATTATGGAGTAGCAAAAGACACTTGATGTGGCAGATGAGGACAGGGAGGTTTGTTTTCCAAAAAAGCCAACAAAAAAACCCCCACAAACCTTTGACTTGTTTAAAGATGTCTTTTAAGATTTGATTTTATCAGATGTTCCTGTTAAACTCCCCCAGAGGGTGGTTGGCACTGCCCAGGCTCCCCAGGGCAGTGGGCACAGCCCCAAGGCTGCCAGAGCTCCAGGAGGGTTTGGACAATGCTCTGAGGGACAGGGTGGGATTGTTGGGGTGTCTGTGCAGGGCCAGGGGTTGGACTGGATGGTCCTTGAGGGTCCCTCCCAGCTCAGGCCATTCTGTGGTTCTGCCTCTCTTGGGATATTTGAGTATTAAATTTGCCTGCCAAGACTGATAACTCCTAACATTTATTTTTTTTCCTCTTATATTGCTGTCTAAACATCAGATAAACCATTTGACTCCTCAACAGTGCGTGTCTTGCTCCAGGAATCCAAAAAATTACTCCATGCTTTCAGCTCGAGGTCGGACTACAACGGTGTCCTGCCCCAGGCTTACACTGCACTGACCAAGCTGTGGGAGAGGCTGGCAGAGGTGAGAGGAGCTCCAGTGCTTGTTCACCTCAGGTTCTTCCATGGTTATATTACAAACCTGGCTTAGGTTTCTTAATTATTCCCACCATTTCCACTAAGTTTTGCAGGAAATGTTGTCGCTGGTGTCTTTTCAGAGTGAACAGACCCTAACTTTAATTTTCACATGGTGACTCTCTGTAGATATTTGGGAGGCTCCTTTTTCCCCCCAGTATTTGTGTTAGTATTGGGAGGGTGACTGAGAAACATTATTTTGTCTTAGCTTTCTGTTGCATTTGTAGCTGATGGGCCTTAAAGATTAAATTGCTGTTTCTCCTTCTGGAGAAAGAATCCCACACTATGAGTCCCTCACTACTGCTCTTGGTGTGTAGAAGTGTTCTAGTTTTCTGAAGTTAGAAACCAAATACATTCATGATTTGTTTGCTGAACTGTTTTATAAGGTGAGGGCAGACAGTGAGCAGCATTTATCAGAAGACATCATGGTTCTTTCAGAAAATGCTGAAAAAATGGAAGCCACGACACCCAATCTGCCAAACCCTGAAGAGAAAGAGTTACATCCAAGCTTTCATGTGGCTCAGGAAAGCAGGCACCAGGAAATCTGGTCGGTCCTTGAGGGTGTTTGGAACACAATGAACCTGTACAGGTAAAGCTAAAGGAGCTCAGAACTTCGACAGAACCCTAAATAATTTTCAAACAAGCACACTTAAAAATTGAGCTTTTTTCCCCCCACTATTTTAGAATAAAATCTATTGATAATTAATCAAAATCAAACCCAAAAACCCCACAAAAAATCACACAACCTGTCACACAAAGAAGTTGGGAGCATGCAAATTATGTCCTTCTGCTGCTCTATTGTGGGCAGCAACTGAAATAAATTGCCTTGGAAAATGTTGTTGAAAACCCCAGAAATGTGAGACATTCATGGAAATCTCATATTTATCCATGAAAAGAGGCATTCAAGCTCCAAGATTTCTTGTGGTTATTTCTTTCCAAATCCAGTGGAGGTGTACGAAATTCTTTACCTTATTTTTAACCTTTAATCAGTTTGAAATAGAAAACGTTTTCTTGTGAAGCAAAATCCTTCACTGAATAAAATCCAACTGCAGAGTTTAGGGATGAATTTCCTTTCTCATGGAAACTCAGAATTGCAGGAAATGAACCCCTTTTCCATCTGGGTGTTTTACCATTGCTTTTAGTTCGGTTATTTTGTTCTGAGACTGTTTTACACAACATGGGTTTAGTATAAGTTTACATTTGATCTAGTTTTTTAGTAGACCAAATATAATGCACACAACAGATACTGAGTTTCTCTGCACTCTGAGGATTTTTATTAACTGCTTTCCTCTGTCTCTTCTTTGTTTCTTTTTACTTTTAGTATTGAAATATTCCAGAAGTTGGACCCCAGTGCAGTGACTATGGCTGCAAAGTCTTCATTTGAGGAAGCTTTTTTAGGCCTGCAGAAGCTGTTGGCAGCTGTGAAGGATATCCAGGAAGGAATTAGTAGGTGAGCATTCCATCTGGGGCAGAAAAGTGAGTAACAGTCACTTGAAGTCCCTAAAAGTCACTGAAATATTTCAATACCAAACCACACTTGAGCTCTGTATGCTTAGTTATGTGATTCCCAGTGGAAATCTTGGTGTCAAGGCTACATAGAACCATCTCTTGGTAGCCAAAGAACATGAAACTGTTGCAGACATTGAGATCTCTTGCAGGGAATTTTCTCTTCTGTGGGAGGAGAGCCCTGGGATTTGTTTTTCCATGTTTGATGCCAAGCAGGTCAGTTCTGCTCCGAGGGTAACTGGAGCTGGGACATGATTAATACATCAGCTCTGATGTATTAATCAGCAGCAGCAACTTTGAATAATCAAAGCAGCAGCTTTGAATAATTCAGAGCATTGGCTTGCCAAGGCCCCATGGAATGGGGCAAATCTCCAGTGTGGTGAAGGACACAACGTTTTGGGGCTTTGTTCCCAATTCCACAGTGTTCTTCAGGAGTCAGAACCCGTGTCCCAGCCCTGACAATGAGCAGCAGCTGCACTCTCCATTTAGGAAGGATCATATTCCCTCTGCCTTCGTAGAATCACAGAATTCCAGCATGGTTTGGGTGGGAAGGGACCTTAAAACTCATCCACCCCCTGCCATGGGCAGGGACACCTTCCACCAGCCCAGGTTGCTCCAAGCCCCGTCCAACCTGGCCTTGGACACTTCCAGGGATCCAGGGGCAGCCACAGCTTCTCTGGGCAACCTGTGCCAGGGCCTCCCCACCCTCACAGGGAACAATTCCTTCTTAATATCCCATCTAAAACTGCTCTGTCAGTGTGAGGCCAGTCCTCCCCCATTTCTCCAAGAGAGCAGAATAATAAAATTGACGTTTCAGGAGGAATAAGGAATTTCCTGGGTAATCTTACTCCTTTTTTTTACAGCAGTGTAGTATAAATCCATTCAAAGAATCGTCTTTCAAAGAGAAATGATCTGAGTATTATGAAAGTAGAGACAGAAAAATATTGGTAGAAACATGAGCTGGAGCAACTTGGTGCCAACAGGTTCATTTTATTGCTAGTGGGTTTCTTTCTCTAAGAAAATTGTTCTAATTAAGCAGGTTACTGCTAAACTTTGCTTTTTTCATTCCAATCCCAAAGTTTTTGCAGCAAATCCTATGGTATCAATTTATAGCCACGGTGGCTGAGATTTCCTGGGATTATGGTGCTTGGGGATGGTTGTTTCTGCCTTACAGAGGTGCAAAATGTTACATTTTAGTGAAAGCTCCTCACCTCCCACCTTCCCCCTTATGGGAGAGCTGTGTAACAGTGAAACCTGAAGTGCACAGGATGATTCCTTGGAATGGAGAGTGTTCCTGGAGGTTTCCCTTTGGAAAGGATGTGCAGGTTTGCAGTAGGTGGCATCGTGGAGCAAAAAATGGGGAGAATCTGCACCCAGGGCTCTGCTGCTCTGGCCTGGAGTGCAGGGGTTTAAGGGACCTGGAGACTTCTGAGTGGGGCTTCCAAAGAGTCAGAAACCAGATTTAGGACTCCTTGTACGTTTCTATGGGAATTAAAGCAAAAGTTGTGAAGTCTTCCTGGAATCCCAGACTGGTTTGGGTGGGAAGGGACCTTAAAGCTCTTGTTCCACCACCTGCCCTGGGCAGGGACACCTTCCACTGGAAGGTGAGAACCTTCTCACTTCCATTTTGCTCTAAAACTTGATTTCTGTCCTTGATTTCTGAAAAAATACCTTTTGGTGACTTACAGTTAAATTATATGGTAGCAGAAAAGGAGGCCCTGGATAAAAAGTAGTGCAGAATCTCCAGTTTGAATATTTGGAGCTTTTAGTGCTAAAATGCTAATGGTTTCTGTGTTCCCTTTGGGTCCTTGCTACCCAGAACAAAGAGTGGGAGACACCTTGTGAAAGTTTGGAAGTCTGGCAATGAAATTATCCTGAAAGTTCAGCTGCATTAAAAGTTTAGATTTTCAGAGTGTTGGAAACAATTAGAAAAGCACAATGACACTTGTTGAGATAAATGTGTGTGAGATGCCCTTAGTCAGAAAAAAAGACTCCACTGGTGGCACTGCTCCAGCTGCTCAGGCTTGATGAGCAGAACATGGTAAGGACAGATACAGATGTTAAAAAAAACAACCAAAAAGGCTGCTTGATGGAAGTTGTCAAATTAACAGCTTTTTATATCTTACCCTTTTCTTCTTTGGACATTTTTAATTTTATCTTGGCTTCTTCCTCTGACAGCACTGGGAGCAGAATGGGATTTAAATTGCAAAATTCTGCGTGCCAGAAATGTCTGACAGTGCTTCAGCTCTAAAACTGAGACAATAATTCTATGGTTAGCAACTATATGTCATTACTAATCATGAAGAAGGATTATTAAACTCTGAAATTTAAGTCAGGTAAAATTGTGAGACCATGACACGTTTTTAAATAGTATTTCTGAGTGTTTATATTTGTGTTTGAGTTGGGTATTATTTGGAAGCAGTTAATTAAGGGACCTAATTTAAGGTCTCTTAAATGAAATCTTTAAAATAGTTGACATTTTCCCTTGGCTGATTAGATCTGATTCCAAGGTTTATAGGGAAATTTTACATGTCTTCATGTTTCCTGCCAAGTTCCTTTGAGATAAATCCTTGTTCTTAGAAAAGAAAGAAAATTCAGCCTTTGGTGAATTGATACACTTATTTCTAGTTGGATTTTTTTTCCATCTGTTGGCTAAGAAATAATTGTTTTGGCTAAGAAATAATTGTTTTGTTCCTGTGCCAGCTTTAAAATCCCTCACGTCCTCTTAGATACAATCCTCATAAATATTTATACTAATATAGTATCAGCTGTAAAAAATATTTGCCCTGCTCACTGCAGGAAGGAACCTGAATTCTGCTCTCTAATATTTTATCTAAATGGAATTTCTCTCCCACTCCCAATGGTTTGGAAAACACTGGCTTAGACAAGGGCTCCAGGAACATTTGTAAATCAGAAGTGTAATTTTTGAAGATCTCAGCAGTGCAGGGGGGGCTGTTCCTGTCTCAGAAGTGCTCACTGAACGTTGGCATTAAATCCTTTAGCAGTGGTTCTGCAGTTTAACTCAGTTCTGCAGTTCTGCAGAGGGACAGAAACTGATTTCATCAAAGGAATCGAGATTTCTTTTTCTTGGTGTCCAGGGAGGGAATTGTCCTTCCCTCAGGCTGCCAGGGCAGGGATCTGTGTCAGGAAGAAAGGGAAGCTTTGCCCTGGAAAAATCCCTGAATTTCCCGCCAGGTTCCCCCTTCTGTTTGAGAAGTTCATTTGCTGATTCTTTCAGAGAGGTTTTACTTTTTCCCAAATGTGTTGGCAGGAGTGAGGAACCACATCCTGAGCTCTCTCCTGTCCATCTCTTCCAATCCCTTACACTTTGTGCATGAGTTTGGCATCAGATGAAGGACAGGGGAGGAACATCTGGAGTGGTTTGGGAAGCTCTGTTGCTTATGAGATAAAAGCATCAAGAGTGACTCTCTCCTTTGTCCTTTCTGGCCCCAGAACAACATTTAACCTCCCTTTTGGAGCAGGTATCCACAGGCACTTGCTGTGTCCATAACATTCTCTGCCTCCCATGCTGAATATTTCCAGGAAACTGTAGAACCACTCTGGAGTCTTTAGGTTGATCAATAAATTGCATTTTAGTGGCAGTGCAGCTTCTGTGTCACCCCTCCTTGCCAACCCCTGCTGAGAGCATGACTTGGATTCATTAAAGTTGAATTTCATCCTGTGGGCTGTTGTAGTTTGGTTTGGCTGTGCTGACAGAAAGGCAAAAAAAGGGGAAAAAAAAGAGGATTTGCACCCTCTGCTTTTGAAACAGAGTTTAGACAGAGAAGCAGTGGATGGTTATTTACACATTTTATTTTGGGTTTTTTTCCCAAAGAACCAGAGGCACAGTGGGTTTGTCCACCCACCTGAGGTCTGGGAGCTTGCAGGGAACTTTTGGTGATAATTCCTATGTAAAATCATGATGGAAATAAGCACTGAAGTTCCTAGTTCAGTAAATCCTGTGCTGTGTCATGGGCTCCCAGCCTGCTTCAAGTACAGTGTCTTTTAACTGGATTTTCAACTTATGCCTTTAGTTTTCCAGTTTTTCAGTTCCTCATTAATTCACTTATAAAGGCTTACAGCTTGCAAAGGGAGGGAGGGGAGAATTTGGGCACTTTCCCATGGGAAAGTAAATGGAACTTCTCAGAAAGGGTTTTTTTTTTCCAAACTTGGTCATTATCTTAATGATTATTGACCTATTTAAAACTTCAGAGGCAGAATTTTGTCAGCATTTCGTAGTATATATCAAGTGTTCTGTGTGTTTCCATGTGGATTTGAGGTACATTTTGCAGCATTTAGGAGGGTCCTGCTTTTCCTGGGGAATGCAAATGAAGTTCCACTGAGCTGGAACTGAATTGTAGCTGCTCAAGCAGAGAAGGATAATTAATTTGGGGAGAAAACCCAGTTCCTTATTGGATCAGAGTTGGGAAAGGCTGTCCCCTGAGGTTCTTCCTAAAGCCACATCCCTTCAGCTGCCACACCCCACAGTCCCTGGGCAGTACTGGGTGGGAATTATTAGCAGAAGTAGGAAAAATGGGAAGGGAATGGGAGTTTGAAGGGAAGGAGTTAAAGCTGGAGCTGCTGGGGGAAAGCTGGGTGGGTGTCCTGTGTGGCTCTGCTGTGGCTCCACATGAATCCAGCAGGACTTTGCTGATGGGCAACAAAAGGCTTCTAATTATTGCTGGGTTTCTTCCCTCCTCGGGGAGGAATCGCCCACGAGAAACATGGATTGCATTTGTAATGAGGAAAAGCCTCTGGAGAAGGTCCTCACAGAAATAATAAGCTCTTTAATTCTTTTAGAGGAGGCAAAGGAAAAATTCTTCAAAGTTCATAATTTCTTTTTTGTTTAAAGAAAATAATTAGATTTTTTTTCCCCCTTGAAGCATTTCTGACTATTTTTTTAACCCTTTCACAGAATCCTTTTACACTTGCTTTAAAAAAAAACCCAAACTTTTATCTTTCAGAATTTTGAGCCCAACAAGCAGTTTCCAAGATATTTGGACCCTCTATAACTTCCTCAGAAGACACGAGGTAGGACGTTTTATGGGTCACTTCCCTCACACTTGTTATTTCCAGGAGCTCTGAGGTTGTGTCTCATCACTCTGTTTCCATTTCTATTTTGTTTATTTGCCCTTATTTATTAGGTGTTGAAACATAAAGATACATTTTTGGTTGGCACCTGCCAAATGAACTCAGATTTCTCCCAGTTCTTTGTGTGACTTTCTGAGCACTTATTTGGTGTGAACGAGTCTCTGTTGAGAGTAAAAAGCCTTGAAATGAGTGTTTGCAGTAGAATATGTTTCTATTTAGTGTATTCCATATTTCAGAGGCTTTCAGTGCTCTACTATACAGGAAAATATATTTGGGCTTGGGACCTGTACATGTATTTTTTGCATTGATGTGATCTATCTTCATTTGAGGGGGGATGTATATGTATATACTCATAACTACTGGGTAAATTAGGAGAGGAGGAAGAGTTATTTAAGGTCTTTCAGGTTTGCACAGAAATGGTTAGAAAATGAAGCTGGAGTTTGTAATATTTGATTTTATAGCACATAGGATGACTTCTTTAATGTACTCTCTCACCCTGAGAGCTGTTAGGTAATACATTACCTGTATGTGATACCAGCTGTACATATCTATATACACAGGTACAGATATCTTGGAGATGTGGTACTTGATAAATTACTATATTCCTCCTTTGTTTTAGGTGAATAACAGTCTGAAATTCACTGCTGAGGAGCTTTATGGGTGTGTTTCCCAGGAGTTGTACAGGTAAGGCAGTGCCTGACCACACGGGGGGGTTGAGGCAGCGTTTGGACATGGATTAGCATGGATTGAACGTGCCTTTTATCATGGATTAACCAAGGTCCCCTGAGAGAAATCACGTGGGCAAATCCAAAACCCCCTTTGTAGGAGGGGCAGGGGGAGAATGAGTGGGGATTGGGTTTTTTTGTTTTATTTCCTGAGGAGGGAGGAGCAGCAGAGACACCACAACCCCCATTCCCATCCCCCTGCAGCACCGGGAGGGGAGGGAATCGGGAGCAGGGAATCAGGGGTGAGGTTGGGCCCAGGAAGAAGGGAGCAGTTTGGAGATTTGGGTTGATTTCTCTTTCTCCTGCTGTGATTCCATTGGGAACTCATCCAGGTGATTTTCCCGAGTCACAGTGGTGACTGGTGAGTCTCTCCTGTCCTTCTGTGACATTGTCCTCCCCTGTCCAGCTGAGGAGGGCAGTGACAGTGGCTTTGGTGGGCACTGGTCAAACACCACATGGATGGATTAGAAGTCGATCCAAGTGAAAAAAACAATTCTGGCTGTTGGCCAGAAGGAGAAGAGGGGGTGGAAATTTGTGCTCAGCAGAGTAGAGAACAGAAGTACTTGGGAGGCTGGTCTGGCTCAGGCTGCACTTGTGGAACTCAGGGATGGGTATTTTCCTCTTTTTTTGAGGAGCAGCTTTTAAATGGTCTTTTGAGAAATAATCTCTTGGAAACCAAAGTTATGGAATGTTTACATGTGATCAGGTTTGGATCCCTCTTTTGAGGGAAAGGTGTAAATCATAAATGAGTGTAGGCAAGAGACTTGTTTTGGGTGTAAATACAGTGTATGCAAATATGAAAGATGGTTTGAATGGAACCTTCCAGAATCCCCAGTGTGTCCAGAAAGCTGGAGGATGTGACTGACTCCTCCACCTTCCCCTGACCCAGGGAAAGGGAGCAGAGCTCTGCCTGCTGCAATTGCAGGGTGGCTGTTTTAAGGCATTTATATAAAAGTCACTGCTGCTTGTTGAGCTTTATGGAGATTTCCTTCTTGAAAACTTTTCCAGGAATATTTGGAAAGATTCCCGTCTGTGTGATGGGTCCACTGTGCCCTAACTGTTGTCTCTTCCCTAGGGAAAGGCTGGAAGTTGGTTGCTGCCAGCTGGCACAGCTGGAGCAGACCCTGGAGCAGTGCCAGGTGTCGGCGCACAGGGAGGCCGAGAGCAGGGGCTGGCTGTGACTCCGGGGGCTGGGACATCCCCGGGCTGGGACATCCC